TATATATATATATATATATATATTATATATTATAATATTTTGAAGGTTACCATGATGGTAAAACTATAATTGTGACGAAGGACAAGAATGTTTACTGCTTAAAATATTATGGATATAATTATTCAACGATTCTTCACATACATACTGACCTTCATACAAAAAAGATAGAAGAATTGTGTGGAAAAAATATAAAGACCTTTGCAAACGGCTTGTATTTCATCCTGGCACTTACAGAAGAAGGAGAGGTATATTAAAGATTTATATATTTCTTGATTTAACAAAATTGATATTAGGAGGTTTTTTTATTATCCTTAAAGCATGAATTTTTCTAGGGAACAAGTAAAAATGAAAATGATTATATATACACATGTGTGAAATCATAATAAAATATAAGTAGATAAATTATAATTAAGAATATATATTAAATAAATAAATTGCTTTGATTAGAAGAACAAATATTTGACCATAATATTTTTTTCAACATGCAAATATTTTTAAAAATTTATGTTGAAGATTGTTAGGATGTAAGTTTTATTTTCTTAATAAGATAAAAATTTTGAAAATAATTTTGAAAATATCTCTAATAGATATAGAAAAGCAAGATATTGCAGCAATTAATTTTTAATTCTGTACATTCAATCTGGTTATAAAAATTAAAGCAATACACATACACTTAGTTACGTAATATTTTAAAATTGTGAGAAAACTTAATTCTTTTACATGTATCAACATGACCAATGAATTTATATAAATTTAAAATGTTGAAAAGTACTTAGGATAAAATAATATGAAACAGAATTTTTTGTCAAGTCTTTTCAAGTAGTGTTTTTATACTTAAATATTCTGAATGTGATTCAGAAAATCAGATCAAAGAATGTATTACTGTGCTATTTTTGAAAGATCTATTTCTGTAAAAGGTCTATTTCGCGAAAAAACTGAATATCATGTGTGAGACTTCTAATAAATCCACGTTTATTCGAGTCACCGGCTTAAGCGACAAGCTTATTGTGGACATCGGATGCGGACTGTATCATAGTCTCGCTCTGACTAGCGATGGAAAGGTAAGTAAAAGATTAAACTATCACAATGATAACAATAATAATCATCCTCATAAACTAAACAATTGTTTGTTGCTTAGGTGTATGCTTGGGAAAAAAAGAATTGGAAAGAATATGATTCAAACGAAAGTGATTCGGAAGAAAGTGATTGGGAGGAAATTGATTGGCAAAATGTTAGTCAATTTGGTTCTAAAAACACAGCTCATTTTGATGTGAAGCAGGTGAAACGTAAATTGGAGAAAAAAAAGGTTGTCCATATCGCGTGTGGTTTAAGTTTCAACATAGTTGTAACTGACAAAAATGAATTATACGGTTGGGGCAATAACATGGAAGGCCAGATTTCAAACGACGGGCTGGATTATTACAAATACCCACGCAAAATTATCACACTCTCGGACAAAATAAGTAAATATTTTAAAAATTTATGTCTGAGATTTGATTTTTAAGAATGTTACAGTATCGAACATCTTCATGAGAGATTGACGTTTTAGTTAAGGTGGTCTGCGGAGATGAGCATACCTTGGCGCTCACAAGTAAAGGCGAAATCTATGCCTGGGGCTCGAACTTATTTGGACAAGTAGGTGTAAATAGCAACCAGGAACCCTCCGGACCGATCGTGGTAACTTATGAATTATTAATAAAAAACTTTTTAATAATTGCCATGATGAGTGAAACAAGAAACGAAATAATAAGGAAAGATATGATCGACAGGTGAACATCCCCGAGATGGGAAAGGTTTTGGATATCGTTGCTCATCGTTGCTCGAGCGTTGCCATTGGCTATGATAGAATTATTTATATGTGGGGTCTTTTTTATCAGGATTTTTATACTACTACACCGTTTCCTACGAGGTTTTCAAACATTCATGATGCGTTTGCGCACATTATGTGGGGAAGCATGCACAATTCATCGATTGTGTTTACGAATACTTTCAAGTATATTGAAGATGTATTGAATATATTGGAGTCTCTAAAAGCAATATTTGATGATCCGGTATGTTTTATTATCATTCTTTATTTTATTTTTTTATTTTATAGCATAAAACTATATACATAATTTCATTTGATTTGGTTGTTATAAAGAATAGAGATTTAGGGATTTGTAGATTTTGTAAAAAAGAATTAAGCCAACTTTTTTCTACTAGAAAAAATAAATTGCAATTGTGTTAACGATTGTTTTAAAACTTTTAGTCTCACTCCAGTTATATATTGAATTATAACATTATAACATTAAAAGTGAAAAATTACTTATTTTTATGATAATTTTGATATTTATAATAATATAATTATTTAATAATTTGCTCTTCAGTTGTCAAATGATCTTACCATACTAGTCGAAGGACAACCTATTTATGTTCACAAGGCTATTCTTAAGATTCGTTGTCAGTATTTTAAAAATATGTTTCAACATGATTGGACTGAAAATATTCAAAGGTAAGCTTAGAAAAAAAACTGGTATTCTTATTCAGAAATTCTCAACTTTGATTACGTAATGACAAGCATTGTTCTTTGACAGCATATCGGATTCAGTGTACACGGTATCAGAGAAATTTTCTTACGTCGTTTATAAAGCCTTCTTGAAATATTTATATACCGGCATAATCGATTTACCTTCGGAGAATGCATTAAGTAATTGAAACTGTAAATGTAAATTATCACATACTTACAATTCGGAAACTGAAACGACACTTTTTTACAGAACTTATGGAATTGGCCGATACGTATTGTGAAACCAATCTTATAAAAGATTGCAGTCAGATAATAAAAAAAGTCATTACTGTGTCAAATGTAGCTTTCTTCTACAATAAAGCTATCGAATGCAATGCTAAGGTAAGTATCACAGTTTGGATTTAATTACTATTACTGTCGGAATTTATTAATTGTAATGTATGTATTTATGTGTATACAATATATTATCGTATATCATCATACAATATATTATCGTATATGACTTACAGGAACTCGAGGAATTCTGCTTCCAGTTTGCTCTGCGTCACATGAAAGCTGTAGTATTATCGGAAGAGTATATGAAGTTAGACACGAGTACAAAGAATAATTTTATGCACAGAGCAGCTAAAGGAAATACTTTCGAAATATGATTTTTTTGACATAAGTTTCGAACCAAATCGCAGATCGTTTTTTATTTCTATACATGAATCATTGAAGCTATATATGTCCAATAAATCTTCTTCCAGTTACCATTTTATAGTTTAAGATAATATTACGTAATATACATATATAATATATGATTTTATCTAATTTTATTTATGAATTGGGATATTTATAAAATTGATTCAATTCTGAAATAATAATTTTGATAAAAAGAAATAAGAAATTTTATTTCTCATAAAAATTTTTTTTTTCACTAGTGTCTTTTATAAAAAAATGAGTATAAAAAGGAAGGAATTACTAAAAACATATTAAAATCCATCGAGATTATAAAAAACAAAGAAAAATAATATTAAAAATTTCAATAATATTAAAAATTTCAGAAAATCATTTACAATATCAATACTTTTTTTCTTATATACAATAATATAGATCTTTTCTATACATGCAATTATAATTAAAGAATTGATTAGTTGTAATGGAAAGAAGAAATTATAATAAAATAGATTCATTCTAGTTCTTCTCAGTGTCGTTCTAGTTAGCATATTTTTCATTTAATGTAATTCATTTAATCTGATGGCGACAAAGAAAATTTTCGCATGAGTAGACAAAATTGTATAAGCATAAATAACCGCCATAAACCTTGGATACTTTCATTTCGATTATAAGCTTTATATACTTAAATCTCTGTCAATTTATATATGCAATTTCGAAAATAAATTAGAAGTTTTAATTGATAAATAAATACTAATTAGAACATATACATATATATTATATACATATATTTGTCCACTTTAGTGTGCAACAAATCACATACAAAGTACGTCGCACGTTTCTGCCTGCGCGTTTTTCAAGTTGAAATGTGTCTGTTCTTTTTAGCTACATTGCTACACTAGTGCAATAAGTTAGAAAGAGATAAACATACTTTCTTTCACTCTAACTAATTGCAACTAAAAAGAACAGGCCCAGTTCTCTCTGTTGATTTCTGCATATTTTTTTACATGTATTATACGTGTATTTTTATTCGTCATTCGTATAAAAGTACTCACTTGGACGAAATTCTTAATCCTTACAAAGAAGTAAGCGAAACTCGTCGATTATAAATGTATACATCCCCTTCCACTCTTGCCACATACAGAAGAATAGAGACCTTTGCCCAATGCTAGGCAACAGGCAATAAGAAATAGTATCTATTCTTTGCTTTTATTGGTGAATATTTTCTATTCCATGTATATATTGGTGAATGATCTCTTTCTATTCCCTATTCCTATTGCTCATTGTCTAGTCTAGTGCAAGGACCTTAGCATTTTTTATACCACGTGGTTGCATCGTGATCTCACTAACGTGGCAACATTTGACAAGAGAGGAACTGTGAAGAACACGTGGTGCACAGGAGTAGTTTTTCATCCATTTTCAATTTTTATTATCGTAGAAGTGCATTTCGACTTGATCTTTCTGCGAAGGAAGTAATAAGAGCGTTTCGAATGAGTTGTGTTTGAGAGAAAAAGTAGAAGAAAACGCATTTTTCAATCCCTGCCGACACAAAGTCGCGTTTCTATCATGTCGATTTTATCGAAAAAATTCTGTTCCCCGGAAGATATAGAGAAGAGAAATTCAGAAATAACAACTAACGAAAAACAGTAAGTATAGCTTTGCTTTTCTTTTTCTTTTCACAAGTTACTGATGGGCGATAGCGATGTCGAAATAATCGCAGATGTCGGCAAGATAATAGATGAAGATAAAAACCGTGCGACGACATGAAGTACATACAATTAATACAAATTAAAGTAAATGAGGTAACTAAAGTTAAAGTTATTAAATTATTCGTAGTGAAATGCAGAAATATGAGAAGAGGATCTTGCAATGCGTTCTAGCGGAGAAGATAACGATAATGGATTTTAAACATTGGGCGTTCTTTCATATGCTAAAGTCGGAATTCATCCGACAAATTCACATGGTTATGGTATTTGGTAAAATTTACCATTTTTTATTACATTGTTCATTATATTTTTCATTAGATATGTATATGTATATATATGTATATATATGGGTCATTCCACGTCAAATCAGCCACTCCCCCGCCCAAAATTGTATTGATGTAAATTTAACTTCTAAAGTACCAAAGTTTAGCTTAAAACATCCAGTTTTTTATGCCATCTGGCGATTTTGAAAAATGTCAAATGACCTTGGTTTTTTCAGTTAAATAAAAAATGATACCTATTTTCGTGTTCAAATTTTTATTATTTTTTGAAGTACAAAAGTCATTTTTAATGTAATTTGATCCACTGAATCCAAATCTGAAGTGAGAAAAACAAAATTTAATTTTTTTTAATTATTTTATTTATTTGACATTTTTCAAAATTGCTAGACGGCATAAAAAATTAGATGTTTCAAGCTAAATTTTGGTACATATATATATATATCCCTAACAGCACACATGTCCGAAAGATATCCAAAGAATATCCATAGGATATCCATAGGAGATTGGGATATTCTATGGATGTCCTTTGGACATCTTTTGGACATGTGTGCTGTTAGGGATATATCCATTTTTCATACTCGAATATCTCGAAACCATGGCGGTTTTGGTGAAAATGTTTTAAACAAAAGTTGTATGGTTTCGAGGGGGACATAAGATGGTGCCGTTAGTTTGACCTTGAATAGTCACCTAAAGGTCACCTCCAACCTTTTAAATGGAATACTTTATGCTTTTATATATATTCTTGTAGTTCATCTCGAGTGCTTTCTAAAACACCATAATTAAGTTAGTTTTCATTAAGTACTTTCCGAGTTATGAGGCCTGAAATCATTTCTTAATTTAAAACATATGCCGTAAAATATCTTGTAAAATATTCATTTTTCGATTACCTTTATACTTTTATGTATAAAATAATGAAAGGAATCAATTGGTGTGAAGAAAATACATAATTGTTTTAAAAAAAATGCCATTGTTAATTGCCATATATATATATATATATATATATATATATATATACATACATATTATATATCTTAATATTTTGAAGGTGTCTTTGGTAGAAAAGCTATAATCTTGACGAAAGACAAGAATGTGTACGATTTAAGTTATAATGAAGATTCAAAGACTGGTGGCACACTTATTGCTCCCAACTTAATTCAAGTAAAAGAGTTATGTGGAAAAAACATAAAGACTTTTGCTTGCGGCTTGTATTTTATCCTGGCACTTACAGAAGAGGGAGAGGTATATCAAAGAGTTCATATTCTTCTTTGAATGTGCCTTGGCATATTTGAATTTGTACGAATAAATAAATTTTAACTTGCTTGAAAAATAAGATTGATATAGAATGAGATTTTATAGCCTTCTGAACTGTAAACGTTTCTTAGACGTTAAACGTTTTATTAAGTACAGATATTTGGCCATAATAATTATTTTAACATAAAAATATTTTTAAAATTAAGATATTTAAAATTAAATTATGTGAAAGATTGTAATGATGTAACTTTTTTTTCTTAATTGGAACAAAAATATAAAGGAAAACTATCTTATTAACAAAGAATAACAGAGATTGCAGCACATTTTTAATTTTTTACATTCAATGTGTTTGTAAAAATTAAAACAAAACACACATACATATAATTATGAAATAAGATACAAAAAATCAGAAAATGTATTACAACTATACTACTTTTAAAAGGTTTACATCTGGAAATTCGGTAAAGACAGATTTATTGAGAAATGGCCTATCAAGTCCGCATTTACTCAAGTCTCCGGCTTTAGCAAGAAACGTATCGTGAACATTGCATGCCGCTTTCATCATTTTCTCGTTTTGACCAGTGATGGAAAGGTATAAACATAAGATTAAATTATCGCATAACGATAATAATCGTTCTTTCTAAGCTAAAACAATGTTTGTAATTTAGGTGTATGCTTGGGGAGACAATATTTATATGGAGAATGGTAGTGAAAACACAGTTATTTTTAATGGTAAGGTGAGCCAAGTAAATCATGGATTAGAGAAGAAAAATGTTATTCATATCGCATGTGGTGAAAGTCCGGGGAAGAGTCTTGGGGTTGGGGTTTGGAGGATACGTCGGTAATTCTAAGTGTCGAAACCCAATTACACCTGCGAATAGAAGACTTGCAAGCCAAGATAAAAGATCTAGAAGAGCAAAACGCCAAGATTACCGAGGAGAGTAAAGCGGTTCAGATAAAGAGCGATAAATTGGTGAAAAAATTGAAGGAGTGTAAAGTGCAGATGGAGAGCTTGCAACAACAATTGAAGACGCAGAAGCAGGCTGGCAGCTTCTTCGACCTGGACACGGCGATCGAGGAGGAGCTGAAGACGCAGATCGTCAATTTGGAGAAAGCTCTGAAGGAAATTAAAGAGGAGAAGAAAAATATTATTGCCGAAAAAGAGGCTTTACTGAAGCGACTCGACATGTTGGTGTCTGCCAATGAAAGGTACATGGAAATGAAGGAGAAACAGGACATGGAAGTCGAAGTATTGCGTATTCAGAACAAGGAACTAGGCAATAAAGTGCAATCCTTGGAGTGGCGATTACAGGAAAATGCAACCGACGTGCAAGACACTTCTTTTTCGCAACAAGAAGATCAGATCGACCCAAATCACCCCCAGAAAAGATCAGTGGAATCTACTGACGACTTTGAAGCGACGTCGAAGAAGTACAAAGAAGAAATAGACGATTTGAAGGACGAATTGGAGGCGCTTGCGGCGGAAAATGAACAATTGCAACGCTTCTTGGAAGTACAGAAGGCGACGATGGCTAATTTGGAGGCGAAGGCTACTGACAACTCTGGAGAACTCGTGGAAAAGTTAGATACGTTGAATAACCAAAATGCGGCCCTAGAAAGCGCTTTAAACAAAGGCAAGGAAGAATACGACGTGCTCAGGAAGCAGTTCGAGCAGAGTCTAATAGACGCGAATGATCAAGTGGCAGCGATGCGACAAAATAATGATTTCCTCAAAGCTGAATTTCTGGAGAAAATCGATAGATTAGAAACGGAGATAAATAATTTACAGAAAGCTCTAGAAGAGAAGGAGGTCTTGGAAGAGAAGCTCAACGCTCTGATGAATCTCGAGGAAAAATCCTCGACCATTAATACATCTTTAATGGAAGTCAAGGAATTGCTCAACGCCAGAGTTCAAGAGGTCGCTGATCTGAAGCAAGAGCTTCAAGTTCAGTACGTGGAAAGGGAAAGAGTCGAAGCGACGCTACAATCGGACCTACAAACCTTGACGAAAGAATTAGACGAGAGGAAACAAGAATTGACAGTCTTGAAGGAAGCATTCACCAACAAGGAACACGAGCTGATCCAGCAGAAGAGCGTGGAAACGGTGAATGCCATCATCAGCGAAGCTACCCAGGAATTAATCCAGAAGCATGCGATAGAGGTCGAAGAAAAAGACCAAGAATTGCGCGATCTAAGGGAAAAGTTAACGACAATGCAAGCTGCGATTGACGAATACACCCTGAAGTTGCAAGATAGCGCGGCCAAGTTGGAAATGCAACAACAACAAATCGTGTATCTGAAGGAAGATCTAACAGAGCGAAATTCAATAATCGGAGCCACTCAGGCTGATGCAAATTTGCTGAACGAAAAATTGCGAGAGAAGCAACAAGAGCTGATCCAATACGAAGAGGAGAAGACGTATCTCGAGGCAAAAATAAAAGGATACTTAGAGGAGCTCGAATATCTGAAGAACCAGTTGGACGCCAGGGAAGCAACCGTGGTTAATTTACAAGAGTGCAACTCGCACATTCATACCTTGCAGCAAGAAATCCAGGCTCTAAAATCCGAGAAAGAGTCGATCCTGTTGCAGTATGATCAAGAAACGAAGGCGTATCAAGCTCGTCTGGAGAAAGATAACCAGCAGGTTGACGCTTTGAAGCAAGACCTGCGAGAGAAGACTGAACAATTGCACTATCTAAGCACCCAATTATGCGCCAAGGAGAATGATTTGGAAGGCATCAAGGCCATGATGAGTGACAAAGATTCTTTGTTGGAGATCATGAGTCAGGAATTAAACGAAAAACGAGGCGATTTAGAAAGATTGTGCAATGAACAGCTGCAGAATTCTCAGATGGTTGATAGTCTTGCCTTCAAGACGGGAAATGACGACGATGCCGAGCTGCAAGGCACCATAGACGAGCTAAAGGCGCAGATGGAAGCTAAACAGCAAGAGTTGGAGCATCTCAAGTATGTCTTGAGCGAGAATACGTATCCCACAATCATTCAGCAAATGCAAGATAGGATTAATTGTCTGTACAATGAGAAAGCTACCCTGGAAACCTCCTTGCAAGTAGCTTCGCAGACCCTGACGGAGAAGCAGGAGCAAGTAAATGCTTTGCAACGCATTCATGATCAGAACCAGGAGCATATTTCCAAGGAGGAGTCCAATTCGCTCTCCAGGGACCGAAGATCCGCGCAAGATCAAGAGGAAATCGTCAGATTGCAGAACGAGCTTCATGCGAGGGAGCAGGAAATTAACGAATTAAAGTACGTCATAGCTGAAAAGGACTCGCAATTGTGTCTGCAAGCCAGTATGGAGCCCCCCAATCGGACGAGTTCGAATTGCGCGAAGCCGTGCAGCGATTGACGGGAGAGATCTATGGCAAGGAACAGGAGGTGCAAACGTTAAAGTCAACTATCGTGGAGCTACAAGAGAGAATCTTGCATCTGAAAGACTTGGAGAGGCTCTCCGAGGAGAGTAAAAATGCCATCGAGAAGCTAACTTCGGAAAAAGAGCAGATCCGTCTCGAGGCTGAAGAGTTCCTCACCAACGAGTTGCGAAAGAAGGAATCCGAGATCGATGAGATCAAGAGGAGACTATCAGAGGAAAATCAAAAGTTGCTGGCGGAACTTGAACTGAAAGATAAGGATATCGCGAATCTGAAGATGCAGTTGGAGGAACTGCAGGTAATTGTGAATGAATCGAAGCAATAAACTGGAACAGAAGGAAAACGCACTGATTCGTGCAACCGACGACCTGGCGGAGAAGGAGAGGAGACTGGCCGAGCATCACCAAAGATGCCGAACTTCACGACTTGAAGATGCAGATTCATGAGAAAGAGGCGCGTATAGAGGAGCTCTTGGCCTTGTCCACGGAAGAGGAGAGACAACTGGACGAGCTGAGGTATATATTGGCGACTAGGGAAACAGAGATGAATCAGCTGAAGGAATTGTTGGAGCAGAAGGTATCCGAGTACGAACTGATGCAACACGCCTTGAAGAAAGATGCGTCCGTCGTCGAGATTGCGTCCAAGGATTCGGAAAGCGTTCAGACAGTCGACAACATGGAGACCACTTCCAGCGAGTTGGATCTTGCGCTATACATGCTTCATCAGAGAGATGTCAGATGCGAGGAGTTGACTCACGAACTAATGCAATTGCTCGAAGAGCGAGATACGCTACAACTGCGACTGTCTAATGCGATTCGAGTGAATGAAGAATTGAGAAGGATGGGTAACGTTGAAGGGAGCCCAACAAAAGACTTATCATCGGCCTCGCAAACGGTGATTGAACCCATCGTGGAACAACCTTCGCCTTCGAAGTCCGAGGGACCAGTTGAGATCGCAAAAGAAGCCATTGATATCCCGATCGAGGACAAAGAAGCTCTTGCATTGAAGTAAGAAAAATTTCCTAATTAAAAATTACAAATCAGGGTCCTATTTTAATCGATCACCCTGAATAACTTTTTTAATTTTGATTGTAGAAAAAAATGTTTCAGACAAAAGTTGTATGGTTTCATGGGACACATAAGACGGTGTCACTATTTTGATCGTGAAGAGTCACCTGAAGGTCACGTGAAGGTCACCTCCAACTTTTTAAATGGGACGCCCTATATGCTTTTACATATTCTTGTAGCTCATCTCGAGAGCTTTCCAAAACACTATAATAAAGTATTTTTCTATTGAGTGCTTTCCGAGTTATGAGGCTTGAAATCATTTCTTAATTTTACATAAACCGTAAAATATCTTGGAAAATATTCATTTTTCGATTATCTTACCTTAATACTTTTTTGTACAAAATAATGAGAGGAATCAATTGGTGTAAAGAAAACACATAATTGTATCGAAGAAAAAATATGTAATTTGCAATTAACAATTACATATTTTTTCTTAAAAATAACTGTGTGTTTTCTACACCAATTGATTCCTCTCATTATTTTGTACATAAAGTATTAAGGTAAAAATATTAAGGTAAGATAATCGACAAATGAATATTTTGCAAGATATTTTACGGTTTATGTAAAATTAAGAAATGATTTCAAGCCTTATAACTCGGAAAGTACTTAAGGAAAACTAACTTAATTATAGCGTTTTGGAAAGCCCTCGAGATAAACTACAAGAATATGGAATAAAAAATGAGGGGTTTCATTTAAGAAATTGACGGTAACCTTCATGTGATCTTCAAATGACTTTTCAAGGTTAAATCATTGCCACCATCTCATGGCCCCCTTCAAGTCATACAACTTTTGTCTGAAACACTTTCTAGTAAAACTCTTCCTTATCGAGATATTCGACCGTGTCCAGACTTTTAACACTCAGTATAGTTCCTGTAATTCGGTTCGTCTGCTAAAAAAAATTTAATGCTATCACTTTGATTGATGATTTGATACTTATATTTGACCAGATGTTTACACGAGAAAGTAGATCTTGTAAATATGTATTTTCGGAAAGAAAAATTAAAATTTTCACGCGCGACAATTTTTGTTTTAATGAAAAATCGAGGATTTTCGGACTGATAAAATTTTTCTTCGTCCTAGTCGCTGCTTGGTTACTCCATTGGCGCGAACAATGATGACAACTTTGCTTTAGAGCTTACGAGTTTAAATTAAGATCACCGTGATCTCGTAAAGTCACAAAAATTTCATTATTTTGTCGACCAGTAGAAATCGAAGTGCATCTTCGTAGAATGCTTATCCTGCAAAAATAATGCCCTCCTCAAATAATGTTGAAGAGTGGAAAATATTTTCCTTCTTCAATAGAATATTCAAATGCCTCGCTCACCCTGCTAACTTGCTCGTAGTTTGATACAAGCTAGATTCTTCCTTTAGATTGTCGCAGTTGCATTCAGTCAGTCACACGAAGGACGTGCGATTAAAGGACGAACGGAAGCTGAAACATACGCAACAAATGTCTTTGTTAGCGCACAGAGATGTTTTAAGTACATTGCCACCTGAAGCAGCCGCGAGGCTGGTCAACGCTAATTACACCCTCTGTAGGTATTCCTTTATGAGTACGCAATAGTCAGTAAATATTGAGTGTACAAAAAGTTGCGCATCAGTGCGAATGACAAATGGATGATTCGATATTTGTTCACAGCTCGAGATGTTCAGAGCCAGTCGAGTGTGCTTTTGAATTGGTTGTGGGGCAAGAGGTAAAGTATAAATACGTTTTTCTATTTTACAGCTTATCAATTTTATATAAAATCGTGATCTATTGATTCTATTATTTTACAGAAATTTTAATATTTTTATTAGTTGTCGTGTTGTTATTACATATAAATTATATAGAACTTTTTAAATTGACAGTCTAAAGTTTCATTATTTCATTTTTAGATTTATGATTTTAAATTTTTAGTTGATTTTACAGGTGTTTTATTCCACGCATTTTATTGATGGGACAATCTCATGATTTTATAAATAATTATAAATTTTTAATTATAATTAATTAATATTGATTAATTAATATTGAATAATTAATATTAATTTTATAGTTGAAATTATATTTTTAAATTATATTTTATTTTATTTTTATAGTTAAATTATATTTATTATATTTTATTTTATTATGTTTTATTATATTTTATTATATTTATTATATTTTATTTTATTTTTATAGTTAAATTATATTTATAAATTATATTTTATTTTACTTTTATAGTTAAAATTATATTTTCTAATTATATTTTATTTTATAGTTATATTAATAATTATAAATTTTTAATTATATTTTATATAATTATATAATCTCATGATTTTAAATAATTATAAATTTTTAATTATATTTTATAGAACATTAGTATCTCTTTGTTTTTAATTTCATCAATCAATTATTTATTATTTTTTATAAATAAATAAATATCGCAATATAATTACATAAAATATGATTTCAGCACGCCGAAGGTGGTGCACATGTGATGAATGACTAGCGGGAATCAAACGGCCATCGTTTCTGCCTTCTGAAGACATTCCTGCCAAGTGCCAACTGCCAAGACTTATTTCTGCAGTTAACTAATAATGGAACGATCTGTCGTGTGTATTTTCCAGACAGAAATCGTTTAATTGTATGCTAATGATTATAAGCAATTATTTTGCAAAAGTATTGCCTGATAAAATATTGTTAGGGAAGACATATTTTTCAAATTACAGAGAGAATGTACAGAATGTAGAGGTAGATAGTGTTTTTCTTGGAAAAGTTGCTCCTCTTCGAGAAAGAAAAGATTATAAGGAGTAGACTTACATGTATTATAATGTTGTACAGTCGAAACATGAGATATATAAACATGATGGAATCGAAAATAATTTAAATAATATATTTCTGCTCTTTTTTTATTCGATGACTAAAATTATTTAGCAATGTATATGCAATGCGATATATGTCAAAATTATGTTGGAATTTTTTTGTGTGTTTTGAATGCGTGTCGAAATCTTTATTGAAAAGTTGCCGTTTTATTTTGTCAAATTTTCTCATTAATTTAATAATTATGTATTTTCTTTGTGTGAATTATCTACGATTTTGTCTTCCGGCTTATTGATGCATTTGTAATACTATTATTGGTCATACATCGAAGGGAAGCTACACAAGACGAATCATAGATAATGCAGATGTAATTCGTGATAATTGTAAATTATTCAATCATTCTATTTCCATAAAATTTTGTACAGAGAAAGATAAATATCAATAAACAAATAAAATATAAGAGAGAAATTATTTAAAAGAAGTACGAATTATAAAATGTATCATAATGCTTTATTGTACATATTATGTATCCTTAAAATCACAATGCTTTATTGTACATATTATGTATCCTTAAAATTGTATGAAATACTTTATAATGAAGTTGCAAAAAAAGAATGAAATATTGATATTAGAAAGATATAAAAAATATTAACATATAATTAATATAGTATTTATATAATAGATGAGCATAAAAAAAATTAATCGAAAATTAATAAGCGTGCTTCTAAATGAATAATTCGATCTTTGTAAATAGAATATGCGCTGCATGCGATATACTAATATAAATATACGGTGTTCTCTCATGTGTATTTTTTTTTTTATTTTTTTTTTTTAGAAGAATTTTCAAAGAATTGTAGTGCCTCTTTTCATAAAAATGTTATTGTAGATGTCTCTTATCATAGAAATTGTATCTCCATAATTTTGATTGCAATTTTGATTATACTATTTAAACAAATTTGCATAAATTTTTTTTTTAATACATTGCCTTTATACAGGGTGAATTTTAATGCTTGTGTCAATCTTTTTATCATGCGGGAGATTATCGACTGCATAATAAATTGATCGGTACATAAATGTCAATTATTTGAATCGATCGTATCGAAGGCCCGAATATAATATGTATAATAGTAATAATAATAAGAATAAATATGTAGCTTTAATAATAACAATAATAATAATAATAATAAATTCATACGACATAATTTCAGCTATTAATTTGCTTTAATTGGATACATTATATTCGGACCTTAGATACGATCGATCCAAATAATTGACATTTATGTACCAATTAATTTATTATGCAGTCGGTAATCTCCTTCAAATATATATATATATATATATATATATTTATTTATTTATTTATTTATTTATTTATTTATGATTATTGATGAGATCCAGCAACGGAGATGTTGAAGGTAAGTTATTGAAAACAATTGTCTGAAAATTCAAGTGTTAATAAATGGATTTTAAAATGTTTTAAAATTTGATGGGTTTAAAATGTAATTTATCTTGACAACTCAAAAAACATAACATTTATGTTTTCTTAAAATATATTTATATATATTTTAAGGTTACATATTTTTATGTTAAAATTGCAAATATTTTTGTCTTATATACAATTTTCATTTAATTTGAATTTTACTTATCTTTATTATTTTTTGAATCAACGAATTTCGAATTTTACTTGAATATTTCGACGTCTGACAGTCTGTCAATCGACGTCTGATAATATTTTTAAAAAAAGGTAAAAAAAGGGCGCCAAGTTCATGCACTAATTGTATCCAACTGTCATATTGTCTACAAAAATAGTGATATAAAAAAAATTGCGCCAACTAAGAATAAAAATTTGTACAAGATAAATAGTAAAAAAAAATTTAATTAAAAAAACTTGGCGCTGCCAATAAAATTGGCATATATTCCAATTAAATATATGTTTAACAGCAAATATAATTGCTGGACATTTATTATTAATTCTCTTAAGATCTTCTGGATTTGAAAATTTAGACTTTTAAGTTGAACAATATATTAATAAAATCGGCAGCGCCAAGTTTTTTTAATTAAAATTTTTTTTATTATTTATCTTGTACAAATTTTTATTCTTAGTTGGCGCAATTTTTTTATATCACTACTTTTGTAGACAATATGACAGTTGGATACAATTAGTGCATGAACTTGGCGCCCTTTTTTTACCTTTTTTTAAAAAGATTAGTTTTGGGGGTTAAAATAATACCTGAATATGAACTTGTAAATAGGTGTTACGCAATAATTGCTCGATGAAAAGTTGTATAAAGGAAGCAAATTGGAATGATGTCATCATCATTCCACTTTATATCTTATCCGTCAGTTTTTTAAACGGAACTCTTAATTTTTTTATCTAAATCGATTCCTCGTAATATTCAGCGTAAAAAATTATAAGAGTAGGATGGCCAAAAATTGAATAGTTTATGAGATTTTTTTGACATATGTGTTATTTTAATTTGACATAATTTTATATAAATACTTTCTGAAATATTCTCATAAAATATTCATCTTTCGATTATTTTATTTGAATACTTTTGACACAAAATTATGAGAGATATCAATTAGTGTAAAGAAAACATAATTGTTTTTAAGAAAAAAATATTTGCAACGAGCAGCTACATATTTACGAGTTTATAAGTTTATAGGTGTATTATTTTATTTCAAACATTCTTCATATATATATATATATATATATATATATATATATATATATATATCATAATAATTGAGTCTTTTACACAGCGTGCATTACAATCATCACGATGAATGTAATGATAATCGAGATAATCTACGTAAATTCTCATGAGTTCACATACAATTCTATAAACGATTAAATATAAAGATTGAAATCCAGATAAATTAAATTTAAATTATAGTGAACGGCTATCGATTACGTGTGTTAAATTGATCTTGTCGAATGTATGATTCTTGCGAATCTCCGGTCAACCGAAGGAGAAAGCTTTACGAGTCTTCGGAGAAAGCAATAGTATCGAAGTGCGAAGCGTAAAATTAAAGACATTGCATCAGAATTCATTGTTATCAGAATTCTAAATAATAGCTCTTGCAATATTGCTGTATCAAAATCAACTTTTACCACTTCATGTCAACTGCAAAAAAGATTCAGAAAGAGAAAGAATTTACTAAGCTGTTTCTAGAAAGTATTCTCGTGTAAAATGCCAAAGATTGTTAGAAATTATAAATATATTTTCTTTTTTTTAATTTTTGAGAGACAAATGTTAAGAAGATGAAAATCATCAAGAATCGTCTATTTCCATCTCATACATTTCATAGATTTCAATTATCTTATGTATACCTCTCATGTCTTATGATGTTTATGATTACACTTTGCTCTTAATTCTTTTTTATAATGATCTTGCTTTTCAAGTACACAAAACAAAAATATTATCAAGTAGTAATAATAATAAATTCTCCTCGTTGCTCATTAAAGTGCACCATGGCATGCAAGCGAGGAAACGTTGCGGCACTCTTACTCGTCTAACGAGCTCGATAATAATCGCCACCGGTCGTTTGTATTCAATGTACGAGTACTCGAACACTCGACACTATCCGCCGGACATTACAAATTTGTTTGTCGTGATTACGAAAGGAAAAGAGCACATCTTGGAGAGATTCTGTTCTCTTTTTCTCTAAATATATCTATGAAATATATAATGTCATTGTAAATATTTATCACCAAAAGTGCATTATCTTACTATTATTATTTAATGTTATCTCATATTGTTATATATAATTTTCTATTGTGAGATATTACTACCATAAGTATAACATATGATGAGTTTTTATGTATTTTTTAAATATATATTTCTTTCGAAGGAAAGTGCTTTATATAAATATTAGAACTTATAACGAAGATGATAGAAGATAATAAAAGAAAAAAAAGAAAAAGATTAAAAGTGAATAATTTTGTATATAAATGTAAATATGGATACGCATAGTTTAGCATTAAATCTTCTATCTAAATCTGTCTAATGTATCTTAATTTTTATAATTAGGTACTAAACTTATTAGCTTACTAATTTTGTGCCTATAATAATCATCAATTAAAAAAATATTACATAAAAATTTTCACAATCGCAAGTATTACAATAGACATGATAAAAACCGCAAAATATTTTGAAATTAGCGAAATTAGTTCGATCAAAGCATAAAACATTATATTGATAAGAAGAGATAAATATTAATCGAATATTATACATATATAATAAACTTTTAAGTTATAATTAAAAAAAAGATACATTGTTATGCTTATCAAAAATGCCATTTAATTTAAATATTTACATCAATTTTACATTATTTTCACTACACTTTTGATACAATTTTCTACGAAATGAATACAAAAATCTACTGGTTTATAAATATATTTGTTCATGCAATACGTTTAAAAAACTATTCTTCTAGAAATAATAATAGGTCATATAATAATATATGATGATGTGTATAGCGCGCACGCGCGTTATATATATGCGTGCGTGCGTGCGTGCTTGCGCGCCGTGTGTGTGTTGTGTGTGTGTGTGTGTGTGTGTGGTGTGTGTGTGTGTGTGTGTGTGTGGGTGTGTGTGTGTGTGTGTGTGTGTGTGTGTGTGTGTGTGTGTGTGTCTGTCTGTGTGTGTGTCTGTGTGTGTGTCTGTCTGTGTGTCTGTCTGTGTGTCTCTCTGTGTGTGTGTCTGTGTGTGTGTCTGTGTGTGTGTCTGTGTGTGTGTCTCTGTGTGTGTGTCTGTGCGTGTGTGCGTGCGTGCGTGTGTGTTTGTGTTTGTGTTTGTATCTATATTTAATAAATTATAAATAATAAATGTATAAAACAATATAAAAACTTGAAATCTTTGCTTGATAAATAAATGATTAATACATTATAATATTTCGTCAAAAACAATGGATGCAATAATGAATATCGTTATATTTAAAAAAGGATAAAAATAATGGCACAAAATCGTCAAATTCAATGAAAGCTATCAAAACAATGATCTAATCAAAATCAGAATTTTACTTAAAATTAACTGCTGATGGTTAATTGATGTGTAGCGATATTACGATATTGATCATCTCCTTCGAGATTTAAAGTCCATTGTGATCATCTGACATTCTAGTAATAGAGATGACGAGACCTTTAGAACTTTTGATTGAGTATACTGATAATTGCGTAAAGGGGGAGTGCATGAACTCGATTAAATCCGTCAGCGTTCGGACTATTCGCAACAATTTGACATTACATACGATTCCATTGATATCGGTCTCAACTAAGATTTTCAGAAATGTTTAAAAGAGTGTTTATTTGGAGAAAATCGCTAATAGCCATTAAATCATAAAGCAGATAATACTATGACAATATAATATTAATAACTCATATACAATATACTAGTTACATTATATACACACACATATAATTATGTATGTATATATATA